TGGTCTCTTTCTTGCATAGTTTAATCCAAATGTTTCATACGTTTTAAATACTAATCCTATAACATTACTTACCTTTTAACTAAACCTATATATGTACCTAATCCAAATCTATCCTATACTAGCACTTATGCTTCTCTAAGAATTAGTCGAACTTACCACTTATAGTAGTGTTTCTAAAAAAAAAAAAAAAAAAATATTCGCTATTCTTACTACAGTGTAACTCGGATATAAGAGAGATTTTCTCTTGTCCCAAATTAGAGCCTGTGTTAATGTATATAAAATAGACCAAACCCGGATATAAGAGACTTCTTCTCCGGTCCCGACAACTGTCTTATATCCGGGTTACACTGTATCAGATAAGTTGATATTTTCCTTTTATGCTTAATCAAATGAAATTCCACAATAATTCCTATACATGTATGTGCATCCACACATCTACATATAAATGTAAGAAATGTATTTACATGCATGGACACACATACATAAATTTATCAATCCCTCATTTAAATTAATTTACTTTTATGAAACCAGCCAGTGCAAAGTTAACTCGTACTATTTATTTGAAGATCCTTCCCCGTTTTGTGACTTATCAATTAAGATAATTCAATGGCTTAACCTAAAAAAAAAAAGCTACTAACTACTCAGTTAACTAACCAACACACATATTTGCTGTTAAATATTACTTGAAATAAATCTGACCAATTAATACTAGTATTGACACAACATTTTCAAAACTATGATTACTACGATACTACTTTAAATCTTTGCCCTCTGAAATTACATTCATAAGAATTCGGCAATTAGACATGGATATGGAAATAAAAACTGCAAATAAGTAGAAACAAATAGCAATAAGTAAACAAAAACAAAAAAAAATTTTTCTATCCCTGCCCCCACCAAATATTGGTCAACAATTCTCAATCTCTATCCATAACGGTTCAACTGCCCTAACTTACTATATTAACCTACTATTCCCTTATATCTTGTAACCCTTCCCCTCCATATCCCTAAGTATGTTTGTGAGGTTTTCTTTGGTTTTTGGGGTTTTTTTTTCCTTCCTCCTCTTCTCTCCCTTTTATTGTCTACAATTCTTCTTCCATGGCTTCGATCTCTCAAGCCAAATCCACTTGGAGGCAGTTAAAACTACATTAGTAATGTCCTTCAGCACTCTAGCCCTTGCTGCTCCCACTATGCCTATTTTTGCTAGGGCTCTGCACAACGACTGTCCTGCAAAGTCCCTGTAACTAACTTCTGTTGGGTCATAGTATATTTTCCATGACTTCTGCTGACATTGTCTGACAAGTTCTTGGTATTTGGACCTCTTTCTCTCATTTGCCAGTGTAATAAATTCCTCCCATGACACAGTTTCCAAATAATGCACTGCTTCGTGTTGTTGGAGTGCAATATCAGATCTGGTTTGAGTAATGTTATGGCTATGTGTCTGAGGAACTTCAGCTGAGTCTTTAAGTCCACTGTCAACCGCTAATCATCTGTGGGAGATAACAGGCTTGTTCTCTCTCTCTCTCTCTCTCTTTCCTCCAGCTTTGATAAAGTTAATCTGATTCAACTTCTTTCCTGATTGATGCTTACTAACCCTGACAGCTTTAATCACCTTGTTTGTAATTGCTTTAAGGTCTTGGTTGTGATGCCAACCATCACCCAAAGCTTTTGGGAAAACTACTAAGGATTTGCTGTAAAGACACTTTCCTTGCATATAATTGGCAATTGGGGGTCTCGCTCTTCCCCTGTATATGCAAGTTAGTTGGGCTTGATAGGACATCATATACTGATTTGATAAGAAATCGAACCTCACTAAAATGTCCTAAAAAGGATTAAAAAAAAAAAAATTTTGTATTCAAAAAATCCTTTGGTCTTTACTCTTAATAATAACAAAGATTTTGATAAAACTTTGTTTTTATTAAGTTTGTGGCAATTGTTTCATCATGTATCCTTCATTTTTGGAGGTACCTATGACAGCATGTACCATATATTCTTGAACATAGTGCAAGTTTTTATAACCAGTTTTTTTTTTTTTTTTTTTTTTTTTTTACACAAAAAATAGGAGGTTGCACCATACACTATTAATTTTTTAAAAAGAGGCTAAACATTATGGATTTTCAGGGATTGTTACACTAGACACAGTTAATTTGTTTTCTGGAGGTATTAAGATTAATACAAAAACATGTAAGGGTCATGCGATATATCAAGTCGGCTTACATGTTTATTATTTTTTTTATATTAATTCTCAAGAACAAAGAAAATGTATAAATTCACTTAAACATGTTTAGGTTTTATTACAATTTTAATCATCGCTTTTTAAAAGAATAAACATTACCAAGGAGTGAAGGTATTTAAAATAATAGTGGTGCCAAGGGAAAAATCGTCATTTTGATACTCCATTTTTTATTTGGGTGGTGGTGGGGGGGCACAAAAGTTCAAGATTGCAGAATATTTCATCCACACATGTAAGTTTTGTAGCAAGTATTGTATACAAGCCAGTCTTTTAAAATTAGTTTAAAATGTCTGTTAGATTTTGTTCTGAAATTTAATTGAACAATATTTCTGCTTTCAGTCTTGTTGAATCAGTGAGGGAAACTCTTGTTTGATGAAAACCTGGTCAAAATTTTGTTTGGACGTGATTTTTTTTTTTTTTTTTATGCCTTACAAACCTTTTTGCAGGTTATTTAAAGCCAGAGCATATTTTTGAGATTGTAAGAATTTTTTTATCTTTTGGAGATAATAAAGAATTTTTTTTTTTTTTTTTTTTTTGGAAGTCTTATGTATCTACACCTATTAAGCATCATCATCAAAAAAAACCTTTAGCAAGACTTAAACTCGTGTCCTATGCTAAGTCTCATCAGAGGCTACTTTGTCTAATATACATACATTGCTTATTTTAACAGTCTTAGATTGTAATGGCCAAAGTGTTGTGATGAAAAATAACAAGATTGGTTGGTTGTTTTTGTTTAGCGGCATATCAACATCTATGGATTGTTTAATGCTGAAATCTAAATATTTTGGATGCAATTTTATTTTTGGAGATAATGGTTTTAGTTATACAAGTTTTACTAATTAATCCATAGCTGGGAGAAGAAGTGGTGGATTCATACCTTTCCTTAGGGTGTTTGTGCATAAGTGAATATAACAAACCCAACTGAAGTTAGAACTCAGCTCTGTGATTTCTCTACTACCTGCAGATCCAAGCTTATAGCAACTGGTATTTCCAAGTGGTCACCCATCTAGGTACTGACCAGGCTTGACATTGCTTAACTTTGATCATATGAGAACCAATGTTTCAATGTGATATGGCTGTAAGCCCCTTGGAAATTTGGGCAGCATCCTTAAGAAATAAGAATGTTAGAGAAAAATGAATTTTATTTTTTGTTTTTAAAGCTCATAAACCCTGTATGTTCTTGACTGAATTAATTATTTATTTTTTGCAGCTTGCATCTTGACAGTTTTCAAAGGGCATTATGAATATTCATGAAAAGAAACAGTCTTTACATTGTGAGATATGTGGATTAGATGTTCACTGGGAGTCCCATCTTGAGAAACATATAAGAACACACACAGGAGAGAAACCGTTTTCTTGTGAAAAATGTGGAGCTAAATTTGCCATAAATTCAAGTCTCAAACGGCACATACTAACACATACAGGAGAGAAACCTTTTCCTTGTGAGATCTGTGGAGTTAAATTTTCACAAAATTCTTCACTCAGACGGCACATGTTAACACATACTGGAGAGAAACCTTTTCGGTGTGAAATTTGTGGAGTGAGATTTTCTGTAAATTCAAGTTTGAAAACACATGTTAATACACACTGGAGAAAAACCTTATTCCTGTCAAATCTGTGGAGTGAGATTTGCCCAAAATGCACACCTCAAGGTACACATGTTAAAACACACAGGAGAGAAAAATTTCCATTGTAAAAAGTGTAATGCAACATTTTCCACAAATTCAAGTCTCAAGCTACATACAAGAATACACAATGGAGAGAAACCTTTCCACTGTGAAATCTGTGGAGACAGATTTACCCAAAATGCAACTCTTAGAGTACACATGTTAACACACACGGGAGAGAAGCCTTTTTCATGTGAAATATGTGGTGTGAGATTTTCTCAAAATTCATCCCTCAGTCGGCACATGTCAACACATATGGGTGTAAAATCTGGGGAATGAGATTTTCTGTAAACTGAAGTCTTAAAGCAAATTTTAATAATACTGGAATGATGCATTTTCACTGTTTAATCTGTGGAGTCAGATTTGTCCAAAATGCCCGCAGGCTACACCTGATGAAACACACCAGAAAGGAAAAAATCTCTTGCAAGAAGTGAAGTGCAAAATTTTACTTGAAGCTGCAGAGAAACCATATCACTGTGAATTCTGTGGAAGTAGCTATTCCTAAAATTCACATATCAAATGGTATATGTTAATAAATATTGCAGAGAACTCCTTTCATTGCAAGGTGTGTAACAAAACATTTTCTTGAAAAATGTATCACAAATGGCATATTCTGGAGAGAAATAAAGAATAGATTTTCTCAAAATCTCTCACAAATATAACTTAACATGCACTTGAGAATGTTCCTACTGTGAAATTTTTGGTTTACATTGGCTTTGAATTCAGCTGTGAATATGCACACACTTATGCAAATTATTCAAGTGTGACGTGAGTTGGATAATTTTTTTTTTTTTTTTTCAGTAATGCAAATCTTGAATGACATGTGAAAATCCAATGCTGTACAAACTCAGGATTTAGATTTCCCAGTGTTGAAATATCAATTTTTTCAAAATTCATACTGTGTACACTCTCTTTTCCCAGCCTGTCAATCATGTGAAAAGACATTGTGTCAAATTATGATGCAAGGGAACAGTGTGTAATACAAAGTAGTCCCTGGACCTTCCTAATGTTATTAATTATTGGCTGTTATTTGAACCCTGTTCACTAGTAAATATAACACATATCTATGTGTGTACACACACACACGTGTATGATCAGGCTTACAGCCATATCATGTTGAAACACGGATTCCCATATGATTACTGAAGTTAAGCAACGTTGATCCTCGTCAGTACCGAGATGGGTAACCACTTGGGAATACTAGGTGCCATAAGATTGGATGTTCAGGTGGTGTAATGAATAATGGCTTTGAACTGGTATTCAAATTCCTTTTGGGTTTGTTGTATTCACTTATGTGCAAATACCATTGGGAAAAGTATGAATCCATCTCTTTTACCCACAGTTAAGGGTTAATTAGTAAGACCTGTAACACTAAAACATTATTATCTCCCCGCTCCAGAAATTCTTACATCTAGAAATATTTTTGGCTTTAAATAACCTACAATGAGTTGATAAACCATAGAAAATGAATGAATTAATGAACATATACAATCATTTTGTACTGAATAACATTTTCTTAATAATTTCTTTATTCATTCACATCAATTTTCTAAAAATTCATGTTGAACACTTTGTAAATCTGGTATATTTTTGTCAATTTATCAATGGAACAGAAAGTAGTGAGAATTTTTCAATTAATTTGAAGTAAACACTGCCTTAGTTGTAATTTGAACTCTGTTTACTGGAAATGATAACACACACACACACACATAAACTCTACAGTTCAAAAGTTTGAGGATAACCCTGGTATTTTTTAAATCGACCCACAAAAGTAGTTGTTTTTTATTTTAAATAAGAGAAAATTATTATATACAAAGTTTAAGAAAGAGTGACCCAGGATTTTTTATTAGAAATTTTATTATGTTAAAAAGAAAAAAACATTTTATGATTAAATTTTGCTCTCATCAAAATATCCTCCTTTAACCTTGATTACTGCAGTACAAATTTTTAATATTTGTTGCAAAAGTTTCTTAAAGTATAAGTTTGATAATTGCTTTCAATTTTATTTTTCAATGACTTCAAGATTTTTTTTTTTTTTTCTTTTTAAGTTTATCTATGCTAATTTGGGGGTGGCTTCAAACTTTTTGAACTGTAGTGTGTGTGTGTGCACACACACACACACACACACACACATATATATATATATATATATATATATATATATATATATATATATACACACACACTCATTACACTAGCATGTCATTTTAACAGATAGATTTACCAAAATTACACAAAAATTTCTTGAAATACTAAAGAGTAAATTTATTCAATAAAATTGCCGTTGGTTTCAACTATGACCTCCAGATGACTTCAGAATTCCCTGCAACTCTTCTGGGCGATCTCTTTGTATAAGTTGGCAAATAATAATCAAGGGGTTGCAATCTGGGGAGGTTGCCAGATGTTAGTGGTGACAGAAATTGTCTGACAGCTATAACTGGGTTCTCCTGCTTGTGTGGCATGGTGCAGAGTCCTGTTGCTAGACATAGGGTCTTCCAGCAGCTAACTTCTTGACCCAGGGTAGCACTACTTCCTCAAGGCCTCTGTGTTGAGCCTGAGGCCCTCACCAACAAATTTAGGAGTTCTTTTCTTATCAGAATGATGAGAGTGAGTTTTCTGAGGTGGTGTACCTTTGTAATCATCATTACTTATCCAACTCTTTCTGAAACCTCTGAACTGTCCTCATATTGACACCCTAATACTCTGAAATGCTCATATTGGAGCTTCTGGCGTGAATGCCAAGCAGTACAGCATGCCAATTCCAAATTTCTGGAATTGCGTCATGGTGCCTTTTTTTCTGACAGATGATGCACAACTGCACCCACATAAAAGCAGTTGGTGAAAGAGCAATCCAGAGGAAGATTGAACTAGTCTCTCTGCAAGTAGACCAACACTCTCCCTGCCAGTTGACCATGGTACCTCAATCAGCTAAATTCCCGTTCTCTATGCTGCTTTTTGAATTTCCTCGATCAACTGCCTTCATTTAAATAATTGAATGACTCTGGTCTGTTTAGAAACAACTGCAACCGCTAGTCAACCTCTTCTTCCCAGTTTAAGAATTCCTTATACGGGAAAACTTCTACTAGTTTTTGTTTATGTAGATACTGGCGTGAGATTGCTGGAAAAGCATAAGTATAGTATGATAAAACCGGCCCTAAACTTGATGAAAATAATTAGGTATAGTCTTAGGTCTGTTTAACTTTATTGTTAGTTTTGATAAAGAAATTATTCTTTGGAATAAATGACACAAAGCAAATCTTTATAGGTTAGGTTTGTGTTAATCAGGGATATAACACATTTTCAGATAGAATTGATGATGACACCTGCGATAATCAGGTCCAATGACGGTGAGATTCTAAAACGTGGAAAATGTTCCCCTGAGAGTGGATATGAGAAACGCAAGGCCACAATTTTGATTGGCTCGCCAGTGAGAGAAGAGCTGAGATAGAGCTTCTCGTCTTCCCCTCCAATACTTACAACAGAAGGCCATTATTTTGATTGGACCACCAATCATATTGGGTTTTGGGGGCTTTCCTTCCTTCCCTTCAAGGTATATGACATAAGGCCATTGGTCAAGCATTATTATTAGCTAGCCAATCAGAGCAGTGCAAATGGGGTTTGCATCCCCATAAAAGCAGTTGCCAAAAGAGCAGAAGTAAGATTGAACTGGTCTCACTGTTAGTAGACCAACACTCTCCTTACCAGATGATTGTGATGCCTCAATCAGCTAAAGTCCTGTTCTCTGCACAGCTTTTTTTGAATTCCCTCGATCAACTGCCTACATTTAAATAGATGAAGGACTCTGGGCTGTTTAGCCATAACTCCAACTGTCAGTCAACCTCTTCCTTCCAGCTTAAGAATTCCTTATATGGGGAAACTTCTACAAATCCCTTTTGTTTATGTATTCATGATCTTAATCATAGTTCCAAAAATAAAAGTTATTTTTACTCTTGTTAATGAGTGTTGTTGAAGTTAATCGTCTCAAGCATAACCAGGATAGAGAGGAGTCAAGCCTGATCTTTGACAGTTCTTCACCAATATACCTGCGTATACTGAAACACAATGTGGGGATGCAGGATTTGTGCAGAGTGTGCTCACCAAAGACAGACCAATGGACAGGGACCAGAGTAAGAGCATGCAGCTACAGGGACATACTATATTTATGGGTTAAAGTGCTCAGTATCATAGAGAAAGCATATGTAAATATAAAAGTGATCACTGAAATCAACATCCAGCAGCAACAGTTTGTTTTATGCTTAAACACAGTCTTCAAGCTTGAAGATGGTGTTTAAGCATGAAACAGACTGTTGCCCCCTTAGTGTTTACTTTACATACATATTCTCGTATTCTTTCACACTCAGTAACCCCCTTGTGTCTTGGTGGCTTTATTTCCTTGTTTGGGGTGAAATAATTGAAAAAAGTAAAATAAATAGTTTTTATCATTAGCCTACAGATATATTGATGTACTTATACCTAAAGAAGGGAAAGGCTGCTGAGAAATATAACTTTTATTGAATATTCGTACATGTTTTGAGACTTCAGTTCCCTTCATCAGTCAAAGAATTGAGTTGATTTAATTTTTAAGTTCAAATGTCATTACAATACAGACTTATAATCTATACATATATAAAGGACAGTTGTCTGTATAAGTGTGCGTCTGGCTAAAACTAAAAAACTACTATAATTTATAACAAAGTAAATATATATACAGACTCAGTATCACCCAAGCCAGTGTTTTTTTTTTTAAATTATCATCGTATGATTTGTATTTATGAAGAAATTTTATGATTAAAATGCATTTGAAATTCTCAGAATTAAAAAGTAAAAATGAACAGTAATAATTCTTATTCCCAATTATTATTATGGTTCATTTTTACTTTTTAATTCTGCTGATACTTTCAAAATGCTATATACATGTATGTATCTTTAAAATTTCTATTCCCTTGAATTTCTTTTCACATCTATAGTAAATAAAAGCATAACTTAAAAAAAAAATGAATATTAAAACAACAAAGTAAATTTAAAGGAAGAAGAGTATTAAATACAACTATTTGACAAATTGTTTATCTATTTATTCAAATATTCAAGTGTGTGTTCAGCTAAAACTAAAAAAACTACAATAATTAATGTGTATGTGTGTGTATTATTCACTTATTAATATTTTTCAGCCATCTTATAGAAAAGTTTTTTATTCAGTCTTTCAAAAATAGACTTCCTTTTTGTTTTGGGAGAGAGAGAGTGTACATGAAAGAGAATGAAAAGAGGGTACAGAGAGTACTTGAAAGAAAGTGAAAAAAAGGAAAGAGAATGTACATGAAAGAGTGAGAAATAGAATAAAAGAGAATGAAAAATGGGATAGAGAGAGATACATGAAAAAGTGAGAAATAGAATGGAAAAAAGGGGGAGGTAGATGAAAGAGTGAGAAATAGAATGGAAAAAGAGAGGGAGGTAGATGAAACGAGTGAGAAATAGAATGGAAAAAGAGAGGGAGGTAGATGAAACGAGTGAGAAACAGAATGGAAAAAAGGGAGGTAGATGAGAGAGTGAGAAATAGAATGGAAAAAAGGGAGGTAGATGAGAGAGTGAGAAATAGAATGGAAAAGACTGAATGAGAAAGAGTACAGGCAGGCAAGATTTTGTTGGATTCCTGTTGTTTGTCCTTATTTGTGTTATACCCAAATACAAAGATAAAATGTTAAAAATAAAAATACAAATAAGGCATTTGCTTTCCTAAATAATCCATATTTTTTACTCTTTCTCTTTATCCTTCTCTCTCAACTAAGGAGAAGGCAACTCTCCTATAAAAAGACGAAAAGACTCAATGGCAGCTGTGAATTGGAAGTATTGCTTCCACTATAAAAAAAGCAAAAAAAAAAAAGCCTAAAAATAAAGAAATTTTGGCTAATCAAAAGAACAAGGAGACTTTTGATTTTAGTTGAATTAAGACACCATGTCCAAACATGCGCAAAAACTAAGTGATTTTTTGCTAATGTTACGAGGATGCATTTCTATAATAAGGGATTCCACTGAGTTCTACTTGTTATTACAAAAAAGTTTTCATTCATGAAGTAGTTGTAAAATAGAGAAATTAGAAATAGAATGTTTGGAAGATTCTAGATCATTCTAGTATATTCGAGAAAAATCTAGATGATTCGAGAAACATCTAGAAATATGCAAATTAGGTGTTAGCTCCTATAAAAATGGGATTT